GTCCACTGACTCGCTTGAGGCTTGGCTTTTACATTGCATCTACATTAAGTTAGGATCCAGGGGAACAGTCCACTGACTCTCTTGAGGCTTGGCTTCTACATTGCATCTCTATTGAAAAGATAGTTTCTTCTGGGTAGATACGTAGTAACAGGATTGTGGGACCAAACAGGAGGGGAGGTCTACCCTAAGGACATGTTCATTCAAATGTTTTCAGCAGCTCAATTCATATTGCAAAGATGTGGAAACAACTCAAGGGCCCATCAGTTTACGAATGGACTAATAAACTGTGATATATATGTATATATATGTCACACTTCCTTGGAGGGGGACTCAACTGTAACTTGGACTTTACCTTACAAATGCAACAATGTAAACTAATTGTATGTACTGTCTTATTAACCCAGTAAAAAAGTTAAAAATTTTTAAAAAGGCAATTTGCATACTTTTTGGATTTGTGATATAACTATCAAGATATCTCCAACTTGACATACATCTAAGAAGATGGATATCCATTGGATCCTTCCATCTTCTCTCATTTTAGTCCATCTAACAGGTGTTCTTCTCAATTTATAGTTTGTGACTATAGTTTATAGGTTGTTACTCTTTCTTTGGTTGCTTTTCATGGTTCGTAAAGGAGGGAGCCATTACAGACATCTGGAGCAGTGTCACTAATTAGAGGCATTGCCTACCTGTCAGGCTAACCCCAAGCCTCATCCTCCCCTGAATTCCAACAAATCAATCACAACCTGATCTGTCTTTTTTTTGGGTCTCTTCTTGGTCCTTAACATTTTATCTATTCATCAGATTGTATCATGAATTGTCTTTATTTTTCATTTGTGGAAAAGTTATAACTTAATTTCTATGAAGGAAGGAAGGAAGTCACATCAGCCTGGGGTACATTCTGATTCCCACTTTCTAGAGAGCCCCACAGATAACAAGGACGAAATGCGAATTTCGAATGAAATGATGAATTCACTCATGAATGTAGTATTAACTTTCCTCCAAAGAAGATTACATTACCAGGGAGGGAAGCCAATGTATACCAAAATAAATAACTTTAAAAACTTTTTTAAAAGACTATAAAATCGTACATATTATGTACATGATAAAAACAGAAAGTAATAAGCCTCTACTGCCTTAAAAGCTGAATTGAATTAAAAAGATCATGGAGATACTTTCAGAAGATTTTGATAACATATTTCTGAACATTAGAGTAAAATAAAATAGATGACATCAAAAATACACATAAATGACAAGATAAAAAAGGTAAGAAAACTGTGAGAAATAAAACAGAGGAAGAAATAAATAATCTGGGTGCTGAAGTATGTGAGGTTTGGAGGTTCTTTGTTTCTTGGAGGTTTCTTTGCACAAGAAAAATAAATTTTCAAGAGATTTTTAAAAATATGATCAAAAGGGCTCGGCACCTGTGGCTCAAGCGGCCAAGGCGCCAGCCACATACACCGAAGGTGGCGGGTTCGTATCCCCAGCCCG